CATTGCAGTTGAAGGAAGGGTTTTAGGGGGATTTAAGGTGGGTGAAGTGGATGGGGTCGCCCTACTTCAATATGCAGTTGATACCTTATACTTTGCAGAGGCAAAACAGGAGCACATGAAGACTGTTTGTATGATTCTTATTTGGTTTGAAGCAGTTTCAGGTTTGAGAGTAAATGTACATAAAAGTGAACTATTGGCAATAGGGGATAATGCAGATATTGGGTAGTTAACGGATTGTGTGGGGTATAAGGTAGGTAAATAAGTAAATTGTGTACAAGATATTTGGGAACACCTTTAGGTGAGAAATGTACTAAAAAGAAGATATGGGAGTCAGTGGTGGATAAAATAGACAAGAGGTTGGCTTCATGGAAGGTAAGATACTTATCTAAAGGAGGAAAACTGACCTTAATTAATAATGCCATATCTTCTCTACTGACATATCTCTTATCTTTGTTTCCAATTCCGACAAGCACAGAAAAGGTAATTGAGAAGAAAATGAGAGATTTTCTTTAGGAAGGTTGGAAGGAAGATTTCAAATTGCACTTGGTTAAGTGGATTTGTAAATCTAGGAAGGCAAGAGGGTTGGGGTAAGGAGTGTTGAGGATTTTGTGCAGATTTGTTAGTTGTTTTTGTTTATTATTTGTTTAGATAGGAAGTGGGGACCACAACACACTTGTTGGGACCCTTCGAAGTGATGCTTTTAAGTATGCAGTTTTACATGTTAGTCACTCTATAAGAGCATATTAGTCATTGTACTCTCTTTTTAATTAAAGTAATGATGTGTGCTTTAGTTCCTGTTCGTTTTTGGGGGGATGCAATTCTCATGGTTGTGTACTTGATTAATTGTGTACCTTCGCGCATCCTGGGGTTTAAGGTGCCACTTTGTCTTCTTTTTCCAAGCGGAGAGATATTTCATATTACCTTTGAGAGTTTTTGGGTGTATTTGTTGTGTTTACATTCGTAGTCCTCATTGTAGGAACTTGGATCCTAAGGCTAACAAATGTGTTTTTCTTGGGTATGCTCAAAACCAAAAAGGGTATTGTTGTTATGATCCAATGTTGGGGAACGAGTTTGTCACTATGGCTGTTACCTTTTTTGAGTCTACATTCTTTTTCTTTGGTGGTTCTCTTTAGGAGGAGTGTTTTGGGGAGGAGAGCTCACAATATGTTCCTCTTCATGTTCCTTCATTTGGTCCACTAGCTGCATCATTAGTTCCACCTATTGCTCCACCATCAGCTCCAATCCCATTGCCTGATCCACTACGGCTTGCCTCACAGTTCTTTTTGCGCCAACACAAGAGAGTTGACTCCACACATGTTCTAGTAGAAGAACCTGCACCACTCTTCGTTGGTCCATCCAAGATTCCAGGTTCGTTTGATACAGTTCTAGGCATTTCCCTTGAGCTTATCGCTTCTAATCCAATTGATGATGTTTCTATTACCTAACATCGATCTTGATCTTCCCATTACACTCTACAAGGGAAGGAAAAAGTGTACAATCCATTGCATTTCACACCATCTCTTCTATAGTGCCCTATCACCTTCCTACCGTGCCTCTCTTTCTTCCCTAGATTATGTGTTTATGCCTAGGAATGTTAGTGAAGCTCTCTCCAAACCTGAGTGGAGAACAACTACAAAAGAAGAAATGGAGGCTTTGATTAAGGGAGATAGTTGATCTTCCTATAGACAATGAGACAGTTGGATGTAGATGGGTGTTCATTATGAAGTACAAGCCTGATGGTAGCATAGAGAGGTACAAGGCAAGGTTGGTTGCAAAAGGGTATACACAGACCTATGGTATAGATTATTTGGAAACCTTTGCACTAGTAGCTAAGATGAGTCCAGTTCGGATCCTCTTGTCCTTAGCAGCTACTTATTCATGGCTGCTCTTCTAGCTTGATGTTGAAGATGCATTCCTTAATGGTGATTTGCAGGAGGAGTTATATATGGACCTTCTAGTTAGTTTCTATGAGAATGTTGGTGAGGGAAGTCATTATATGGTTTGAAACAATCACCTAGGGCATGGTTTTCCAAGTTTAGGGGGGGGCATTGATCCATTTTGGATACAAAGACCCAGTCAGATCACATTCTCTTTGTGAAGAGGAGAGAAGCACTTGTGTTAGTACTAATTGTGTATGTGGATGATATAATTGTTATTGTTACAAGGAATGATCTGATGGAGATTGATGCACTCAAGAACTAAAATATTTTCTAGGGATTGAGATTGCAAGATCCAAGCATGTGATATTCATCTCTTAGAGGAAGTATGTGTTATACCTACTATAGGAAACTAGGAAGCAAGGAGCTAAAGTAGTTGATACTCCTATTGACCCAAACCTCAGGGTTAATGCTTTGGATGGTGAGTTGGTTAAGGATGTGGGGAGATATCCGAGGATGGTAGGTTGACTACTATATTTATGTATGGCATGCCCAAACATTTCCTATGTTGTTAGTGTTGTGAGTCAGTATATGTGTGCTCCTTAAGTTTAGTACTGGTTAAGGATGTGGGGAGATGTCAAAGGATGATAGGCTGACTACTATATTTATATATGACATGCCCTGACATTTCCTATGTTGTTAGTGTTGTGAGTCAGTATATGCATGCTCCTTGAGTTCAGTATTGGGAAGCCATTGATAGGATATTTGCATTACCTAAAGAAGCATCCTGACATAGGAATTCTATTCTCAGACCTTGGGAATTTGAAAGTGGAGTCCTATATAGATGCAGATTGGAATGGTTGTCTAGATGATAGGAGATCCACATTAGGGGTATGTACCTTTGTGGGAGGAAATATGGTTTCATGGGAAGAGTAAAAAGCAGTAAGTGGTGGCCAGGTCAAGTGCAGAAGCTAAATATAGATCTATGGTCCGTGGTGTTTTAGAATTACTTTGGGTTAGATCCTTGCTAAGTGAGATTGGAATAGATGCAGAGGAGCCCATGATGTTATATTGTGACAACCAAGCTGCAATCAATATTGCCCATAATCCAATTCAGCATGACAGAACAAAGCATATTGAGGTTTATAGACACTTCATAAGAGAAAGGGTGACAGCCGGAGAAGTTTGCCTGCCTTATGTCTCCTCTAAGTTAGAATTAGTTGATGTCTTCACCAAAGGGGTTGCAAAGAACAAGCTTGAACATGACCCAAGGTTCAAAATATTGATACAGGCTGATATGTCGGTAGGGGTGTATCAGCCTGCATGGAGGCTCGCTTGCCCCTTTTTTTTAGTTTTTTTTTTTTTTTTTTTTCAATCTGGTGCAGAGGGGTCAGTTTACTCCCAACTAGAGGAGTCAGTCTACCCCCTGAACCATGGTTTGACCTAAAGGACCCCCTATAAGGGCGTATTGGGAAGCCCTCGGTAAGATACGTGTCGGCGATACAGCTTGATATGTATCGAAATTTTGAACTTTGAAATGACCTACGCAGGTTGGGAAGGTGTGACATTTACTCCCGACTAGAGGGGGAGTGTTGAGGATTTTGTGCAGATTTGTTAGTTGTTTTTGTTTATTATTTTTTTAGATAGGAAGTGGGGACCATATCACACTTGTTGGGACCCTTTGGAGTGATATTTTTAAGTTTTTTATGCAGTTTTATGTGTTAGTCGCTCTATAAGGGCATCTTAGTCATTGTACTCTCTTTTTAATTAAAGTATAAATACTAATGGAGAGGGAGGCCAGATATAGTCTCTTTCTTTCTCAACTTCTTCCACAAGAAACACTTCTTTTCTTTACAGATTTTTGATTTAGCAGATTTCTACTGGATAAGGAAATATAATGTGGCCTGTGTAGGCAAGTGATAATAGCAATATGGCTTAGGATAACTATACAGTTCTGTCAACTCATCATTTTATAAATTATTAGATAGACATGGAAAAGGGAATGAGGCCATAGAAGAAGATATCATGTTCTACCTATTCATGCACCAATGGCAATCTTGTGATTTTGGGTGATTTAGATTTTGCATTTTGTGTCCTAGGAATAGGACTATTGATTTTGGGTGTGATTTAGATTTTTGCATTTCTGGGTGATTTTGATTTAGATTTTTGCATTTTTTTGGTGTACAGTAGGACTACCACTTTGCATTTTTGTGTCCTAGGCCTGGACCAGTGTAGGGCAGGACCTGGGTCTAGGTTAAAGCCCTTATTATTGGTGCTAAACACAGCCTGGGCCTAGTCCATGATCACTGCTAGTTATTTGATGAATCATCATCGTCATCTAATCCTTGTCCCAACTATATGGGGTCTGCTGCATGAATCCTGTTTCACCATACTGTTCTGTTCAGTGTCATATTAATTGTTAAATTATGAGCCCTTAAATAAATCATTTCTTAGTGTGTCAACCCATGTCCTTTTAGGTCTGCTTCTAGCTCTTCAAGCTCCTTCAACTTGTAACAGATTACTTCTTGTGGATGCTGTAGATGGTCTTCTCTGCACATGACCAAACCATCCTGCTTCTTGTTGTTGAAGATTCTTGAGTTCCTTCAATTCCATATACTCCATGGTGTACCAGCCTCATGCATCTCCACATAACCTTGCTTCTTTTGGTCCAAATTATCACTAGGACCATCAGGATCTGTGTAGATATTGGTCCATATTCAAAGTGTAAATAACAACACATATAGCCTGCTGATAGTTTGGATATTAGTGAAGAGTTGAGCCGAAATACATATACATATACTGAGAAGTGCACTATTCTGGTAGTATCAATATACTGAAAGAAAAAAAAAAGTTATCAAAGTCATGGATTCACTTCTTAGTAATAATTTGAAATGGGCATGACCTGCTTGATTCCTCCTGCTTTGGGATTTCAGATCTTTATGTTTATTTTAAGGATGTAAGATATACTTGAAGTTCTTACTAAGTTTGACACTAGTTTTCATGGTTCCTTCACTATCTGGATGGTCAAATGATGTTTTTAATTATTTGGGCTTTGGTGCAGATGCTCTATCTTTTGAATTGCCCTTGAATGTAATTATGTAACCATTGATTATGTGTTTGCAGTTGACTGTTCATAGATGCAGTGAGTGTGGTCAGCCCCTTCCTGAAAGTTATGAGCCTCCTGCTGATGAGGCTTGGACAACTGGAATTTGTGGTTGTGCTGAAGATACCGAGAGTTGTAAGAATCTTTCCTTCTGTACTTTTATGAAGATGGCAACCAAACTGAGAACTTTTTTGTTTCTTTGGATTTCAAAACTCCTTGTTGCATTTGTTTATATTGCTCACGTGTGAACATGGTCAACTTTCACAAATTAGTTTACCAACTAATCTGAAGTTGAGGTGTAAATACAAACTGGTGCTTAGAGGTACAACTTAGGTGGTCCTGGTTTGAGCTGCTTGAGCATTTGTTAATTTGAAGGGGCCTGGGCTGATGCAGTGGAAATTCTTCAAATCAGATACCCAATTTTCACCAATACCGGTGCTTTGGCACCCCTGGAAGAGGGATTATTTATTTAATTTTTTGTAAACAAGGATATTCATTGGGTTTAGGTTAGCTCAACACCCGAGGATTTCTTTGACAAAACAGTATGTGTGTGGGTTGGGGAAGAATACCTATAAAAGAGCAAATGCCCCTTCTTTCTGGAATTTTCATTGGACACTTTCTACCCTCCTTGTCTAAGAATACAGTGGGCATAAAGAGGGCTTATATGTCTGTTGCTGCCAAATATGAGGCCGAGGGCAACAAGGTGATTTCATTAGTGTCCAAGGCCGACAAGTTCGATCTGTAAACAAGAGAAGAGCACACGTCAGAGGCCCCAGGTGTTATCCCAGGGGCAGAGACTCCGACGGTCAAGTTAGCCGAATGCTTAAGAGGGGTCAGAACAGGCAAGAGACGAGAGCTCAGAGCTTAGTCCTTAATAGCCAAGAATGATTCTCTTGGGATTCTGAATGTGCTTACCTTGAGATGAGTACCCCCTTTTATAGCTAACCTTGCCTTAGGAGTGGTTGGAAGCAGTTGGTGATGTGCAACCAGGATTTGATCTAGCCGATGCCACGTGGCGCGATCTGAGGCCCACCAAGTATCCCTACATCAATGTCCTTACTCTCACTTCAGAAACTGCCCACTTATAACCATTCAGAAACTGTCCATGGATTATAAATAGTTTTGTCTTAGAGATACTGCCATGTGCAAATGCACGTACACATTTACTAGTGCAATTAAGTGGGATATGGGGAAGGAAGGGGTGAGAAGGAAATTTGAATGATCCAATGCCATTAAAGGGATTTAATTATTATATCATTGGATCTTAATGTATTCGGTTGAACCAGATTTATTGTTCTCTCTCTCTCTCTCTGTAAACGATTTATTGTTCTCCTGTATATTATTCTCCCTTGTTTACCAACTTGCCATTCTATGTAAAATGCTAGGATATGTATTTGATTTGAATTATGGCAAGAATACTGAAATTCTTCCCTGCTCACCTCTATAACAAATTTTGTATCTGTTATATGGTTTTTGATTAATATAATGAAATGCTAATGTTTTGTCCCCACAGGCTGGACTGGACTGTTTTGTCCATGTGTGTTGTTTGGCCGTAATGTTGAGCGCTTGAAGGAAGATATCCCCTGGACCAAGCCATGCATATGTCATGCTGTTTGTGTGGAAGGTGGCATTGCACTTGCAACGGCAACAGCAATCTTCCATGGTATTGATCCAAGGACATCATTTCTTATCTGTGAAGGTTTGCTGTTTGCTTGGTGGATGTGTGGCATCTACACTGGTCTTTTTCGACAATCATTACAGAAGAAGTATCATCTGAAGGTACTCTTGATTTTTTTTTGACTGTATATTGGTTTCCTGCACTTGATTTGTGAAAGAAACACAATTTTGAAAACCATATAAGCAAACACAAACTTGCATCCAAAAATTAGGTACATGCTTCCCATCAGACTTTTTAGTTTTTAACTTTTATTCCAGGCACACCATTGTGGACTATGGAGTATTTTCCTCTTAACTGAATTTTTCTGTCTAGGTAGCTTCTTAACAAAACTCATGTTTAAAGGGGTGCTTGTCATCTTTTTTGTATTTTTTTTTGGCATCTCTTTATTTCATAAATCAATAAAATTTCTAATTGTTACTGATAAATTTGGGTCCTAGTAACATCCAAGGTTCAAAGTATCGATACGATACGCATATCGGCCGTATCGTATCGGTACTTAGAAACGGCCGAAACACCCTTTTTTTGTTTTTTTTTTCAAATTTTGGTTTTTTGGGAAGCTTAAAACATGTTTTTTATTATTAAAAAAAGTTGGGGGTCTGAAACACCTGGAAACAGGCGTTTCGGACCATATCTTTTTCAAAAGATACGATACGATACGCCTGATACAGGGCTATCGTATCGATACTTTAAACCATGGAAACATCCAAGGTTGTTATTTGAATGATCAAATTGTTTTGGTAGACTTGGGATCAAAGTTCAAAATTTCGCAACGTATCAGGCCATATCGGCCGATACATATCGTTCCGACAAGAGCCCAATACACGGAATGTGTAGAAATCAGCTGTTCCGTTTCTTTTCATATGTATCCCACCAATACGAACCTATGTCGGGCTGTTTCAGCTCTGTATTGGCTAATACAGGCCTGAAATAGTCCGATACAGCCTAAGACACTTGATTTGTTTTAGGTGCCCTTCTTTCATTAATTTTTCTAATCTATATATATTTAATACCGAATTCCCTCTCGTTAATTTTGTTAATTACTCCTATATTTAAGTCTAATTTTTCTTTCATTAATTAGTTAATTACTCCCATAATTTAAGACATTTTTAAATTTAAATTTGAATTTTAGCGACTAATTCAAATTCTCTCATTAATTCCATTAATTAATGATCCTCTCCCATTAATTTCGTTTTATTAGTAAAAACTACAAAATTTAGCAATAGAAAGATTTTAACCATGGCCACTAGATTTTAATGACCATAAGTTCACCACTAAGCCACACCCATTTGTTTGTTATGGTTGTATGCATTTTTATTTTTAAGTAAATTTTCTCTTTTCTTAGTGGATGTTTATTAATAAATGCTAGAATTAATTGTTAAAATTTATATACTAATAAATATTAAGATAAATTGATGTATACACATTCACATTTTAGTTATTCCAACATTTTTCAACGGTTACTAATTGTATCCCGATATCTCACACTATATAAACCATTAAATTATGGATTTTTACATTTAAATGACTTATTTACAATCATATAAAAATTGAAATTATTGTTAGTAATATATTTTTTAGGATTTATTTGAATTTCCTAGCATATTTGTGCGTATCTTAATTGTTCGTCCGTATCTATGCGTATCCAAAGCGTATCCCGATTCGCCTCTTAAAATTGTCTTTCCAGTACACCTTGCGTTTCCAATACTTAAAACCTTGCTTGGGAACAAGTCCCTAAGTCTAACATGCCAAAATGCTAATTGCTGCTGTTTCCTTAGTGTATCTAAAAGCTAGCATATGCAATAATACAAACAAAGCTCGTAGTGATTAGGAGTAAATATATCTCAAAATTCAGTAGTAGAGGCTGACGCCTTGTGTGAAATTAGGAGCTACTTTATGGTGGTATTCATTTGTTTGGAGACCATAATAGTGAATTTGGGATTGCAATGAATAGTTGACAAAAATCTACATCTGCATAAGGTTGTGAATCTGGGGACTTTTATGAAATAGCAATGCATCCATGGTCAACACAACCACACTACGTATATGGCCTTTCTAAAACATACTAAGTATAAGCCACTGTTATCTTTCCATGCCAAGGGCAGTTCCTGCAAATTGTCAGTGATCTTGGTTCTGATTTGACTTGTCCTCTTGTTTGTCTTTATATAGCCAGAATGCTGGAATCTGGATGCACTTAAGAGTTAAGACCAAACCATGCTGACATTCATGCCCGGTTTGGTAATTGTGTGATATCTATTGGTTAGCCTATATACCAAAGTCAAGTTGCATCTTTCTTGAATCTTTGGCTTTAAATCATGGCCTTGTGGAGTCAAAATTTCTTATATATAATCCTAGGTATATTCCTAGATGCTTCTATCCCGTTGAGAATGTTGGACATGAAGGCTCAACTTTAATCGACTCTTCAACTCCAATCAGCCCAGAGTAGTTTGGTCAGCAACAAGACTGCTGTTTTTTCCTGCATCATGATTAAGCCAGATTCTTCACTGTGTAGGCTTGGTCCTCTTTGTGGAGGGGGTTTTACCTCTCCTTTTTCTTCATAATAAAATCTGGACTGTTTTTTGAAAAAAGAAGAAATGAATGTTTTAATACTGATGAAGGTATTGATTGCTTTCTATTAGTATTTCTCGTTTCTTTTTGTAGCAGCAGCTCATAAAGGAGCAGGTACTTCTTGCATCATATCAGAAATGGTAGAGTTCTTTTGCAGCACCTCTTAAACTATTTTAAAATCAAAACTTTGGTTTCATTGTCATTGCTATCCACATACAAATGTTGAATGCATAATCTCTCATAGAAGATCAAAGTGATTCTGACATGGTTTGCAAGATGGATATGAGAAAGAGTTCACTTTTGCTACAACACTTTCGTAGTGCAGGGCTAAAACAGAAAATCATGGCCTTAGATGTACTGCAGTGGTCCCACCAATAAGTCATTTCGTCTAATTCAAGGTGGGGGCCATGGAAACAAATCAAAGGCTTTGATTGTTTCAGCACAGGGCTACAACACTGTTGTAGCAAATATGGGTTGTATGGAAAAAGTCTTTTGCCAACAACTAGCCCCTCAAGGATTTATTTCCTGTCCTCCATTCACTAACCTCCCACAGAAATTTTATGACGGGGGTCAACATGAACAAAACTGATTATAAAAATACTAATTGATATTGGCAAACCTTTTGTCTCTGTTTATGGTTTTGTTTCAAATGAATACCTGGATTCAGATCAGTGCCCTGCAAGGGATTCTATCCCGAGAAAAGCTCCTTGGAGCTGTTGGTTTATAGGAGATGTTGAAATTTTGATTTAGTAAGCCTGAAAACCATCCAATTTGAGGCATAATCTTGAAAATGAGGCATCCCTTATGTTTCTTTGGCAATGGCTAATGATTACTTATGCTCACTATTTCCTCATTCCTCTTGTACTGTGTGCAGAACTCTCCATGTGATCCATGTATTGTGCATTGCTGCATGCACTGGTGTGCATTGTGTCAGGAACACCGAGAGATGAAGGGGCGCCTATCTGACAACATTGTCATGCCTATGACCATTGTCAACCCTCCTCCCATGCAAGAGATGAATGCGAGTGAGAACCGGGGATCTACACCAGCCTCTTCAAATGGTGGTGAACATACTAATTTGGAAATGCAGGCTTTGTAATCTTGGCATATTTTAAACAGAGGTTGGAAAAAGGGAATTTTGTTGTGTTGTTGTTATGTTTTGTGGAGCTCAAATGTCCTGGATATAGACAGAAAAAGAAGGAATTCCTTTGAGGAATACAAATGCACTTATTCTGATAACGTTTCTAATATTTTTTTCTAATTTGCATCTCCAATTATAGAATTGTGTTGAGACAAGGCATGGATGATGATGATCTCCCATTATTGAATTGCGGTTGGCTCTTAATTGTCATTATGTCCTGGTTTTTTTTCTTTTGGTGGAGCTGGATATAGACAGAAAAAGAAGGAATTCCTTTGAGGAATACAAATGCACTTATTCTGATAACGTTTCTAATATTTTTTTCTAATTTGCATCTCCAATTATAGAATTGTGTTGAAACAAGGCATGGATGATGATGATCTCCAATTATTGAATTGCGGTTGGCTCTTAATTGTCAGTATGTCCTGGTTTTTTTTTCTTTTGGTGGGGTTCCTAGTAAGTTTATTTTCATGGAAAATGATCCAGTGAGGATGCCCTCACATGAGCAATGGTTTTAATTTATGAAATTTCAGTTCTCCTGAACCAGATAAAGTTATTGGATCTTTTTTATTAAATCACAGAAATATATGATGTCCCTACGTATATGGCATAAGGCTGATTAGTGATGATGATCGTGATAGTGGTATATTTTCATTATTTCATGATGAGCGTTCTAAAATGGCTACTGGTGGATGAAAAGTTTCAGTCTTCAAGTAGGGAAATTATGAGCTTAAAAACCCTTGATAGCCTGATAGGGTGGAATGGCTTAACAGGAATATTTATAAAAAAAAAAGGCTTAACAGGAATAAATGTTAGGGGAAAACTGACATTTTCTCCCGAACGTAGCACCTGAAAAAAAGTGGCGGAGACCTTCAGTGTGTTAGACTGACGTGATAACCAACTACACCACGACACCGGCTTGTGTTGATTGCGTTCAGTCGTTCACTACCCTATGTCATGTCAATTTCCACCCCGATCAGGTATCCAGCTTCTCCCACCCAATAGGGTTGGGATGGAGGTTGCATTAGGAGTCTGGATCTGCTGACCATGTGCATTCAGCTATATATTAGAAATATTGCGGTAAGATGTGCATGACCAGCAATGTGTCGTGGTCAATAGATCCTTCGAACTCTGGGAATAGGAATGGGGATGGGGATGCTGAGTGAATTCTTTGCCCCGCACCAACCACAATATATATATATATATATATATATAATATAATTAAAATATTTTTATATTTTTAAAAATAATTTTAATTTAAAAATTTTAGAGATTCGAATCCCCAAAAAAATACCTCTGTCAAGGGTCGAGGATGGAGGATCATGATGGAAATTTGTTTCATGGTTGGTGTCAAGGACTCGCTCCATTGCCATTCTTAATGTCAATTATGCACTTAATACTCTAGATTTGGGATCTCCTACACAAGTATCCCCGACAGTTTGACACATGTGACAAATTGAATTGAATGGAAGTGCCGAATAGGTTGGACATGTTGTTAAAAGCCTCCTATCTTTCTCTCTCTCTCTATTTCATTTACGGATAGAAGACTTAAACCTCCCCTAGATAAAGAAAAATGACTAATATATCCGAGTTAAATTTGGGATTAAATTGATTTATAATTAATTTGGAGAAAAAATCCATCATCTTCAATTGTGAAAACTTGACTACTGACGAAACTGAGCCTTTCTAGAGCATTCTGAAACTGCTATAACTAACGTGTCCATTGCACTTGATGATAATATTAGAGATTCGACATAGGAATAATGTCCTGCAACATGGATTGCACCACAAGCAAAAGTCCCTTTCAACAATCAATCTCTAAGGCTGCATTTTGTTACAATGCAAATACAAATATCTACTTTTCATAAATATCCTCTTTCCAGTTAAAAAATGCAAAGTGGATTCATAGTGTAACATGTTTTTTGCATTCTTTTTGTTTGTTTGAAATTTGTATAAAGCATGGGCCCATCATTAAATGCCTTGAACTTTTGATCAAATACACCAATTATCATAAGAGTACAAAATCCAAAAATGCATATATTAATGCTCTCTCCTTAGGATATAAAAATGTCAAAAAATATATTTTTGATCTCTAAATCATTGCATTTTTGCATGTTAAACAATGCTTATAATATCAAATCAAAATACATAAATACCCTAATTCAACATTTGTATTACAAACAAATATAGCCTAAAAAGATGTAGAGAAAGAGCCAAACGAATACCTTGAACTTGAAGGAAGCGTAAATATCATCAACTTTGCCTTCATTTGTTTATACATAAATGGAAGCACAGTTGCATGTATTATATAGTATTTATACGTACAAATATAAATATCAAATCGGGTTCATTTTTTCAACCCAAATAATTAATTTTCAGAAAAAAAAAACGCTTTTCCACATGCCCAGTATGAATAAATGACTCTTAAACTTTTAAGTTTCCATAATGCCATATTTTTTTTTGTTTTTATAAAACGTAGAATTGGGTACTTGGCGATACCCCAATTTATCCTCTTTGCTTTCCTGCTTTAATCATTACACGTGCCTATCTGACTATCTCTTAATTTGTCTCCGTATGAGAAAGTATGCATCTGTACGTTAAATATGCAGCCACCTACTCCTCCTACCATCTTTTTCTGTTTTTTTTTTTTTTTTTCCACTCATAACACATATTGATTATATATATACACAGAAGCAACTAACGATGAAATTGAGAAGTGTAGTTAGAATCTATCTTCAGACAAGGGTTTCAGCAAAGTTGCAATAGTTTTGTTATTTTGATGCATTTATAGAATCAAACCAGTGGCTTGTCAAATGCTTCTCTGCCGGACAGTGGTGAGATCTGCTCGGAATGCTCTTTGAGCATGATTTGTTTCTCAAGCCATAAACGAGTTTGAGATTCTTTGCATCATCGTCAATCAATTAAAGTAAAATATTATGAGAGTTGAATTGAACTAACAGGAGGAATTCAAATTGATTTGAATAGATGATCAGGGTGGATTTTGGATTCCTCAGTTGCTGTGGACTTCGCTGCTGCGACCGATTTATATGGATGAACTGGGGTAGGTTTTGTGATCCTAATCTTTTCATCTTTAATATAGCTTTCATCTTTTGATATAAAGACGGAGAAAAATTAGCTTCCTTTGGGAGTGCTTACTTAGTTCTTTGTAATGCTTTATGTGCTTTTGAATAGTAAGAGCCTAAAAGGTCGCCCGTTTAGTATGTAAGTTGAAATGAACTAATGACAGAGCCATAGTGATTGGGCACCTGTGTTTCGAAGAAGTTACTCAAAGTAGTTTTGCAGTACAATTAGAAACCGACACTAACAGTCGGTTTTAAAGAAGCCAAAAGCATTTCTTGGCCCATCATATAATTTTCAAAATACTTATATTACTCGATTTGAAAGAAACATTTTCACTAAACATTCATAAATACTTATTAATAAACACTTGTTTTTCTAATTAGCTCCCCAAGCGGTGCGGTGCGGTGCGGTGCTTTATAGAAAGATCAGATGCTAGGTTTGCTGATAGGTCATAAAGAAAGATCAGTAATGGTGTTATTTCGTTTAACATGCATAATTACCAGGTATGAGTTTTAGAAAACTGACGTGGCAAGTTAATTCAACGTAATGCCAAACCCAAGTGGCTTGAGCCGGCTAATATGTATGATTTTTTTCATAATGAAAAACGACTGCCACATGTTTATTTTGCTGATCTGGCAATTGTTTTTTTTTTTTTGTCCTGCAGTGGATAAAGTAGTCATCCATATATTAAATATTTTGGGTTTGGGTTTGGGTTTGGATAATTGAGAGTATAAAATAGTCAATATATTTCTTTTACCCTTCTTATCTCAGTTGAGCTGGTTTTCCGGCGAATTCCTGATAAGCAAAGAGGAAAAGGGGGGCGGAGGAAGAGGAAGAAATCACTGCCGTTGTTGAAAGTTAAAGCGGTGGCGGTGATTTTGATAGATTCAAAAACAGAGGAAACCTTGAACCCTTTTTCCTTTATTTTTCGCCGTTAGAAACCCTGTTGGTGTTGAAATTTGGGTTTCTGCTCAGCTCATATTTCAACAATCACCAAGTAAGTTGCGGCAGCAGCAAAACCTACGAGCTAGAAATTTGGGTTTCTGCATCAGCTCATATTTCAACAATAGCCAAGTAAGTTGCGGTAGCAGCAAAACCTACGAGCTTGAAATTTGGGTTTCTGCAAATACTACAAGAGGAAACCCAATTAATTGGGTTTCGATTACAATCCCCTATCGATTTATCTACAAATTTCCTTCATGGCGAGATTCCAATAGTTTTGTTTGGATTACAGGATCTGGAGTACTTGAATCTATCATACATCTTCTCGGTCTCGGTCTGATATATGAAACAGTCGTAGGAGTATAGTTACTCTATTTCCTATAACTTAGGGTAGTTTAAGAAATTTGTCCCAAAATATTTTGAGTTTGGGTTTGGGTAGTGACAATAGAGAGTGAGAGCACTCAGCCACAACGACGGCGTTAAAAACCTACTTAATGACTTATTCGCTAAAAGACAAATCAACAAGCCATTCAGTTCAGTGTTGAGCCGCTTGTGCCATTTACGATAGGGAAAGTATGGATAAGCCCATTTCAGATTTATGAAATCCGTTTCTATGGGAGGAGGCATGCTTTCTGCTAGACTCCTCTGTTTTGTCCGCTTCGACGGTATGGGAGGAGGCATGCTTTCTGTTAGACTCCTCTGTTTTGTATCATGTTTTCCACCAAACCTTTTTGGGTAGTCTGATCTTTCCATTCATCACTCTTTTTTACTGCCTTTTTTTGTTCAATTCTTTTGTTATTGTTTGAACTATTTACTGAACTCTTCGTCTCTAACAATTTTCCGTTAGATTAAGAGTTTCATTTCATCATGCTCAAGAAATCCTTATTGTTCTTTTTCTCCACCTTGGGTTCATTACTGTCTTCAGGAGCTGCACCCCCTTTGCCCGATGGAGGGCTCAAGCTATGTCTTGGGTTTTGGCTAGAATTTACATTTAAATTCTTGTTGTCGTTTTTGTTCTTGCTATTGATGTTTTTTTTTTTTTTTTATCTCCTTTCTTCACGGTAGTTGCCATGGATATGGAGTTACCAAACCAGTTGATTTAGGTTTTACAAACAATAAATCTGTCGGCTCGGAACTCAATTTGGATGGAAGAGGAATGGGTGGTGGCTAGGGTGGTTCATCATCTGATTTACCTGATTTTCTAGTATTTCTACTCACCATCTCTTTAGTGGCAGGCTCTTTTAATGCAATGGTAGCAATAGATTCTGGGGAGTTATTGGCAAAGAAGACATTGGCATTATTGAACAGAAGTAGAGAACAGGGAAGAACTTGTTGCAACTACTGTATTGCCCTTCTTCTAATCAGGTCTACGTGTTGCCGCACTAAACTTGTATACTTGATCGTATGTTGCAAAGTCAAAATGCTTGGTTTCCGAGCATTCTAAGTGGCATTCTATGGTTTTTAAAATCCAAGTCAGTCTATAGAAAACCCAAAATGACATTTAAACTCAACTTTTTCGATATTAGGAGAGTGAAAGCAGACAAGAAGGGAGAGAGAGGGAGGAGAGAATGAGATTGCAAAAGAAAAGTTTTGGGTTGTGAGGGGGAGAAATAACGAAAGAGGAAAGAGAGTGGGAGACTAAATAAGGGGGCCCCAATAGGATCATTTTAGTCTTTACAGGTTAATTAATTAGCTTTCAAATAAAGAAAATAGAAACGAGAAAGAAGTCCAGACACATGTATATCTTAGAATGAATATAGGCACAAAATATTTGCACCTACACGTGAGACCCCTGTATAATATATATGGATATAGATAAGGAAAATTGTGATGTGAAATTGCCACCTCATAAACAAAACAAAGAAGCTGAAGTGGCCTGGATTTCAGATATATCAAATGAGCTTATCCGTATTTTTCCCTAATAAAGGCCCTAGAGACCGATAAGGTGGCTATGGCCTTGCCGCCTTAACCGCTTCACCAGCTGCCACTAAAAGCTTAACCTGCTTGGCTGTATTGCTGCTGGTGATTTGTTGAACTCGATTCCGAAATATGAGATTTAGGGTTTCTCCGATATGGTCCGTATTTCCCAAACGTTTGCAGCACTATCATCTCCGTTCTCACCGTCTTTACTTGTATTCGTTCGCAAGAAACCTCCAAATCGGTCGAGCTTCTATTAATGGCGGAACCGGCAGATCCGACGGTGCGAAGCTACTACTATCACTAAATCTGGAATTATTCAATACATTAGTTTTCCGTCACATCTTCATTTTCTGATTTCTTGTGGCACGTGAACTACTTCGTCTCAAATTGCACGGTTTATTGTTGAAGCCATACTCTTCTATTTGCAGGTAATTCTTTTCTGGTGCCAGGCGCAACTGTGGCTACTCTGCTTATGCTTGGCATTCTTCATGCTCGGCGTCTCTATGATGACAAGAAGGTATTATTAATTGTATAATTATGTCACTATAAAATGTGGATAAGAAGGTTATTTACTGATATAACATTTTGCTTGTAGTCATTACATTCATATTAAGTGTTTAGACATTCGAGACTGTTGTTTTACTGCGTAGGCAGTTCTCGAACGAGTATAGATTTCTTTACATGAGGGAACAAACTTTTGTTGGGTTAAATTGCTTGAGCATCTAGAGTTACAAGGAAAGAAAGAGGAAGGAGACGGAATTATGACCTTGCACCATTATTCACACCCCTAAAGGTCTAAACAATGTCAGTATCAAATGCTTTTAATTTATGTTCCCTATTTAAGTGCCATTACGTAACCTAAAGAATCTTTTAGCATGGGGACCTGGAGATTTTTCCTTAATTCTGCTATTAATGTTTAATTTGAAGTAACTCAATCAAATAAGATCTGATGGACTTCTCTTTAGCCGACTTTTATTTTTTATTTTGGTAAAAGCTTTGGCAGACTAATTAGGTGGACAGTGTTTAGTAGAATTTTCATATTTTTGCCAACTCAATGCATATTACTTTTAGCGGATGGCTGGGTTTTGTTGCCTAGATTTATATGTGGCCAATACCCTTCCTATAGTTGTCACTGCTTGGGAAGTTTTTCTTCTGCAGGCATGTCACAAGTGGTAATTCTCTGTCCTAGAAATGCAATCAATTGTTAAGGAAGTAAGAATCAACTTGAGATGGCTGTCAGTCTTGGAAAATGAAATTTTTTGGAAACTGGGAAATATGGCTTAATTCATGGTTATTGTATCTGTACTTTTCAATTGTTCTATACCCTGGTAAATATAGCTTAATTCATGTGTTGTCTATATTCTGCTTATTCCTTATTTGTTCAGCTGTTTTACTGTGACAGGTTGAAGAGGCAAGGGAGCAGGGAATTGAATTTGAGTTTTCACCTGATGTGAAAGTAAACTATCTTTGTTTAATAATTCCCAATGTCTAAAATTCGTGCTTCTATCTTGTTCATGGCCTATTTATTGTAAGCTAACCCATGTAGCTTCTGATAAAAAGTTCTCTTACCTTGCAAACTCTAGGCTAGATTCTTGAGTCTCCTACCATTGCGCTCCATTTCACGCTTTTGGGGTTTCATAACAAGTGTGGTAAGTTTACTTTACCCATGAATCCATGATAATCTCACTCTTTTTTCATTTTATAACACCACAACATTGGTGACTCATGTAGTCTACAACCTTCTTTTCTCATTTACCATGTAATTCTTTTGGTAGGATGGATCTGTTTTTTCACCTATAGTAATATATTTTGCATACCGTTTATATATAAAAAAAGCAAGGCTGACTCATATGTAGTGATATTAATGCAAGATCTGAAGCATATCTATATGATTTTTTTTCTAAAACAATAGACACTTAGTCATATCAAAATATGTTTTATATTTGCCTTTGACACTCCAAGAAAAATTCCAATAGATACGGGTATATAATTACAAATTTAGGTTGTATGACACTTTGACAAGGATGCCCCCATGAATTGACAAGTTTTGCAATGCTTGAAATATTATTCCAGTATCTTTGAAATATATAGCTAATGTGAGTAGACTAATGTTATGCCTTGAAGGACTGTAAAGAGTTCAGTTCTATCTTCTATAAGATGTGTCATCACGAGCTGGACCCGAGTAACAAATCACATTCTCCAAGTGGTCTCTAATAGTCTTCGCATCAAAGAGGGACAAATTCAAAGATATCTGAACTAGGGAGATAAGGAACTCCCAAAGATAATAAGAAGGGCTACAACTTGGGCGGGGTTTGTTAACCCATCCCCAAAAAGGTCACATTGGGTTGGTTTTTGGGTTAGGGTTAGAGTTGAAAAGCATGAACCCAACTTCAGGTTGGGTTAGGGTTGAGACCGTAACCAACTTGACCCAACCTAACTTCATATTTGTATGTATAAATATTATATGAATATGTATTTATGTATGTAAATATTTATAATATATGTATATGCAACTATGCATCCATGAATGTATATATGTATCATAGTTTTCAAGGTGCCAAGGCGAGGCTAGGTGACAGAGGAGTGCCTTGTCGCCTAGTCGTCGCCTAGGCGATGGACTTTTTTAAGTAAAAAGTGAAAAACATGTAACCTAGGGTAGTTCCCTAGGTTCCATAACCATATTTCCTGAAAATCAACATAATCCAACATATTCATGAGAAGAAAAAGAAGAAAGAAAAAAAATTCAAAAAATATAGGGGCTGAACCCCTATTTTTGTTATAGGAAAAGAAGAAAAGAAAAGGTGGAAGAAGAAATCAGTATATAAACACACAAAATTAGTGAAGAAAAAGAAAATAATGTTTTGATTGGACAACATTTTATATGTTCTTCCTTACTTATTGGTTCAGGTTTTGAAGTCTTTGAGGGTTTAATACAGCATTTAGCAATGTTTGTGTTGATTAAACCCTAACAAATAATAAAATTGTTGAGCAGGAGAAGAAGAAGGAGAAGAAGAAAGGAGGAAGGAAGAAGAATAAGAAGAAGAGGCAACTGAGTTAAGGCCTCAAAAAGAACTACTTCAGTCGAGTGAAGCATTGTATTTATACTATACTGGCCGTACAACACAATGGGTCTACAAAATTACAAAAATACCCCTGTGGGTACTAAACCTGTATACAATACATATAATACACCTGTCAACACTCCCTCTCAAGTTGGGGCATAGATATCAATCATGCCCAACTTGTCACTAAGACCTTGGTGTCTGGAATGGTTTAGCCCTTTTGTAAAGATGTCTGCTAGTTGGTCTTCAGAGTTGATGTATGGAGTATACTTTGCCTGTGATGATTTTCTCTCTGATAAAGTGCTTGTCAACTTCAATATGCTTTGTTCTATCATGTAGTACCGGGTTGGCAACGATACTTATACCTGCCTTGTT